CATCATTAAGGGTAATTAAGAGGACTATTGAAGGATAATCAATGGCTTCTTCATCTTCTACAAATCAACATCCTATGAACTTCTCTTCAAGTATGCATCTTTAATCTCATCTCTTAATAAGAATTATGAGATTGATCCTGTTAATATGTTTGATTGATTTTATATATGGTATCAAAACGGGTTAAAATCTCATGTATATAATTGTTAACCCGTCAATTTTGAAAAAATCAATTCAATATACATATCTTATGCTTACTGTCGCATACTTCGATATGCTGATATCAATTCAATATGAATATAATATAGTTTATGGCGCATACATCGAGACATCATATCATCAAATTGATTCATATGCTTACTGAATATAATATAGTTTATGGCGCACACATATATATATGTATGTTTGAATTGGCAAATTTTTTTAATGTAAATTGATTCATATGCTTACTGCATATTTCGATGACATCATATCATCAAATTCCATATTGAATATCATATTTAAATTAATTAATATTTGGATGACACCATCATAAATTCAATATTGTTTATATGATTACTGCATATTTCGAATTTCATGAGAATTTCATTACGGCATGTTTTTATTAATCTCAATAAAACCCTAATTAAACAAGTAGCAACTTTGATGTTAATTTAGATAACTAATCCAACGAATAGTTATCTAAATTAATGTAAAAGTTTAATTATGCTATTGTACATAATTGTTTAAATTGTCATTCAATGAGCCCAACGGTAAATTGATTGACAATTTGAACAAAGAAGTATAAGCATTATTTGTATATTTGTCATATTTTCTGCCCAACGGTGATATGTGATTTATATGTATGCATGATATGCCTATAGGATTTTATTAATTTAATTGTTTTGCTTGACCAACGTTAGGTTGGCAATTAAATTATGAATTTATCAATAATTTCATTGTGTTCTAATTAGATTATATGTTATTATTGTCCTTATTGTACCCCTTAATTGTTTTTTATTTTAATGCTTAAAGAGCCTAATTACACTGGTACTGAAATTTCAGCCCCTTTGGTCGGTCATTCTGGCTTACTTTCCTCCATTGACCTCCTTAATGGGATGAACTATTCCTCATGGATTGAGCAAATTAAAATAGCACTTGGAGTGATGGAACTAGACTTTGCATTAAGGGTTGATCGCCCTCCTCCCTTAACCGATAAATCTACGGTTGAGGAAAAACGTGTTACCGATMAGTGGGAACGATCAAACCGCATGTCTCTAATGATCATCAAGAACTCCATTTCCTTGGCCATTCGTGGAGCAATCCCTGATTCTGAAACGGCAAAAGGATATCTTAACTCGGTTGAGGAGCAATTCAAAGGCACCTCTAAAGCCCGTGCTAGTACACTTATCCTTAAAATGCTCACAACTAAGTACGATGGAGTTAGTGGCGTACGTGAACACATATTGATAATGAATGACATGGCCGACAAACTTAAAAGTATGGACATGGAAATATCCGTGGCTTCTTAGTTCACTTCATTATGACTTCCCTTCCGGCTCAATTCGGGCCTTTTAAAATTAACTATAATACTCAAAAGGAAAAATGGAAGATGAGTGAACTAATAGCCATGTGTATTCAAGAAGAGGAGCGTCTAAAAACAGAAAAACCTGATGCACCGAGTTTCTAGAAAACGGCGATAATAGTGGGAGCGATGGTTCAAATATTCTTGAACTTAATGAGAAAACGACACCTAATCAAACACCAAATATTTTAGTGCCGGTACTAGTATCTAATCAAGAGTCGACACCAACATCAACTCCCCAAAATGAGGATGTTGTTGTTACAATGGAAAATGAACCATTCCATCATGAAATTCCACATAATGCCGAGGCCGTTGAAGAAGCTCAACAACCATTGAGAAGTTCACAAAGAGAAAGACGGCCCATAAATTACGATGACTTCATCACCTATTTAAATGAGGTCGACTATGATTTAGGTCAAATTGAATATCCAACCTCATATAATGAAGCCATTAAAAGTGAATGTTCACATAAATAGATTGAAGCCATGATAGAAGAGTTAAATTCCATGCGTATAAATGACGTTTGGGAACTTGTAGAATTACCTAAAGGTGCTAAAGTTGTTGGAAACAAGTGGGTCTTTAAAACAAAGTTAGACCCAAAAGGAAACGTCGAACGCTATAAAGCTCTACTAGTGGCTAAGGGTTTTACTCAAAAGGAAGGTATTGACTATAAAGAGACTTTCTCACCTGTATCGAGAAAGGAATCATTAAGAATTGTCTTGGCACTCGTAGCTCATTTTGACTTAGAACTACATCAAATGGATGTCAAGACCGCCTTCCTAAATGGTGATCTGTACGAAGATGTATACATGACACAACCCGAAGGATTTAAGGACAAGGGTAAAGAACATCTCGTATGTAAATTAAAGAAGTCAATTTATGGGTTGAAACAAGCTTCACGACAATGGTACTTAAAATTTGATGAAGTTATGTAACGATTTAACTTCACTAAAAACTCAGTGGATCAGTGTATATATTTTAAGAACAGTGGGAGTAAATTCACAGTATTGGTTTTATATGTTGATGATATACTTATTGCTAGCAATAACAAGGATATGTTGTTTGGGACTAAGCGTTTCCTATCAAATAACTTTGACATGAAAGATCTCGATGAAGCCTCTTATGTGATTGGCATTGAAATTCATCGAGACAGGGAAAATGGAACGTTGGGATTGTCTCAAAAGGCATATATAAATAGAATCCTTAATAAATACAACATGCAAAATTGTGCTCCTACTGTTGCCCCTGTTGTAAAAGGTGACAAATTTGGCTCTTATCAATGCCCCAACACGAAAGCCGAACGTGAACAAATGAAGCTTATTCCATATGCTTCAGTTGTTGGGAGCTTAATGTATGCTCAAGTCTGTACACGACCTGATATAGCGTATATCGCTGGTATGCTTGGTCGCTATCAATCAAACCCAAGATTAGACCATTGGAAAACAGCCAAAAAAGGTGTTACGTTACTTACAAGGAACTAAGGAATACATGCTCACTTATAGAAGACCAAATCTTCTGGAAGTCGTGAAATACTCAGACTCAGACTTTGCTAAATGCAAGGATGACAAAAAAATCAACTTCAGGGTACATATTCATGCTTTCAGGTGGACCTATATCTTGGAGAAGTCACAAGCAAGAGCTTACCACTACTTCAACTATGATGGCTGAATATGTAGCATGTTATCATGCCACGTGCCATGCTATGTTATTACGAAACTTAATTAGTAGGCTCATTTCAAGACCACTAAAGCTTTACTGTGACAATAATGCTGCCGTTAGCTTCTCTAACAACAATAGTTCAACTGGTGTTGGATTATATCTCGACACTAAATATCTATTCGTTCGAGAAAGAGTGGAAGAAAATTGCATAACCGTGGAGTATATTAATACAAGTGACATGTTGGCTGATTCACTTACCAAAGGATTACCGCCTAAGACTTTTGTTGAGCATATAGCGAGAATGGGCCTAAAACGAAATCTCGCATAGTGTCACATGGTACTATACATTATTAAAGGTAAGCGCTTACAAGTCTATCTTTCACATTATGTTATTTATTTGCTCTACTAATTTATGTTAACACTAATTGTTCTTGGAGCAGATATGATAACCATAAAATCATAAGTTATATTTTGTGGAGTATTGAGGTATAATTGATGGGGATCTCATATCTTTAAGGTATGCACGGTTGCATTTTTTTTTTTGCCTTAATGCTTTTACAAAATATATATCCTAAATGGGTTAATACATGGCCAACTTATTTGATATAAATAGTTATACGGCCAAGTGGGAGAATGTAAGATTTATTTAATTAATATGGCCTAAACTATTAATATCATTATATATATAAGTTTATTAATCCATAATTATTCTCTTATTATTAATTATTCCCATATTTACATGCAGGTCCTCTAACTATTGTGATGGTCAATATTGGTCCCTGTGTATTAATTATTCATATGTTGGTTATCATTCATTTATGTTCTCTGTTGCCCTAATTCTAAAATCTCTCTCTCTGGAAACCGACGATGGCACCAAGCAAGGGATAAAAACTGAGAGTTCATCAAGAACACATACGACAATTAATCCATCATCATTAAGGGTAATTAAGAGGACTATTGAAGGATAATCAATGGCTTCTTCATCTTCTACAAATCAACATCCTATGAACTTCTCTTCAAGTATGTATCTTTAATCTCATCTCTTAATAAGAATTATGAGATTGATCCTGTTAATATGTTTGATTGATTTTACACAAATCACATTAATATAGCACATATATGCATTAATATGCCCTGTCATATCAGGAATCTGTGTTGCCCATTGCCCGTAATCTTGTATCAACTGTTGTAGTAGCAGTGGTACAAGTCTGTCATCTAAAGCTTGCATCATTTTACATGCCACCATAATTCATTGTTAAAGATGCATGTTTCTGCCTAAAATMAGCTCTAGAGACATGAACTCAAACTAACTGTGTTATAAACCATTTTGTCTTAGACAATCCAGTCGATACAATTGATGAAACCATGTTTATGACGCATGATAATCCAGTCGATACAATTGATGAAATATGGTACATAGACAGCACCTTTAGCAACCATATGACKGGAAACAAACGAATGATTGTGACACTTGATGATAAATTACAAAGTGAAGTAAGAACATGAGATGAACGCAAGCATGTAGTGCAAGGGAAAGGATACATTGATGTGAGTACCAACATGGGTGTCAAGAGAATACATTATGTGTATTTTGTTCCGTCACTCAAACACAATCTGTTGTTGTTCATTTCTTCTTCTTGGTGTTGTGGTTGTTCATTTCTAGATTTACTAATTTGAATCTGTTTTTTGTGTGATGAAAAACTGCTGATGAGATTTTAACTTTCTTTCTCTTCTCTTTGGTTTAACCGATTGATGAAGCCTAGGCTATATACAACTTGCGAAGCATTTGACAGCTTGTGGATTTAGCTCTAAACTTAGAGGTAAGAATCTTCTCTATAATTTTGAAATCCCCTGCTAATACAACACCTTTTTTACATACATTACACATGTAGCTATTATGATTTATGAGCAAATTAAAGTAGAGGAACATATATAAGCATTTCTAAAAGGGTTAGTTTGTTCTTTGAAAGGAAAAGCATGAAAGAATGAACCTCTGTATACGAAATAATGTTAGCGGATATTAATTATAGTGAAACTATTCTCATAACACAAATTTTTAAATAATAAAGAAGCATTTATTTTAGAAATTGAGCTAGGATTGAAGTTGATATTCAGAAAGTATAGAGATCAATTTAATAGTTGATTTACAAGGAGAGGTTATTTGTTGTGATGGCATGTAAACTATTGTTTATCGTCGTCTTATATTTTTATACAATGAGTGTTTTTAATGATGCCACAGAAATGGAAGAATTGCAAGAAAATCAAGATCAAATTCGCGAGTGACCTCCATGCTCTTTTCATGCATTAATCTGAGTTCAGGTTATGGTCTCTTCTTGCTGAAAGTTGGTTTACTTAATAGCATCTCACTAAGCATAGAAATGGTATACTTTTAAAACAGAGGTGAAACTGCTCTTGAAGACAATGGTCACCTTTTTTAGCTAAATATCAAAAACATAAAAGTTGAAACCTTTAGCATACAAATGGTATGCTTTGAAAATGTGTACATTGTGCATAATGTTCTGTACTTCATAGTTTCTTGAGAGTAGATGGTTGAGATGCTGATTGTTCCATTTTCTATTATTAGTTCCTGCTCTTTCAACTTATTATCCCACTTAACACTGCAATCACTAACACACAAACACATACATATTTATTCTAATAAGTAATGTGGTTCGGCTTTCCAGGTTGAACTTTCCAAGTCAAGGGTTAAGTCTTGATTTGATAATTCATGGGTTTTGTAGGATTGATGATATGGAAGATGACTCATGGGTTGTGATACTGAAACCCGGTACCTGATCGGTTTAGCCATTTTATGATCCGGTCCGAACCGATCCGACTTGCAAGTGTATATCATTGAAATTGAACTCAAATGTATATCATTGAAATTGAACTCAAGTGTATATCTAATGATTCATGTTGATTGCAACTGCTTCTTCTTCTTCTTCTTGTTGGTATGAAAGAAAGAAAGAAGGGATGAAATGAAAACCCTTGTTAATATGTGATCTGCAGATTTGCGGGCGGCGGCGGCTGCTGCTGCTTCTTGTTGATATGAAAGAAAGAAAGAAAGAAAGAAGGGATGAAATGAAAACCCTTGTTAATATGTGATCTGCAGATTTGCGGGCGGCGGCGGCTGCTGCTGCTTCTTGTTGATATGAAAGAAAGAAAGAAAGAAAGAAGGGATGAAATGAAAAGCCTTCATAATAAGTAGTTGGGTTTTGTCGTTACTACTTAACTTTTCAGTTAAGAATTTCAAGTTTTTAATGAGTTTTGATTATATGGGTTTAGAAA